TACCCATGCCCTACTTTACTATACACACCTTACCCATGCCCCCCACTAACTATAACACACCTTAACCCCCTGCCCATATACTATCCCCCCAAAACCCTTTCCCATGCCCTTTTAAAAAAAACCTTAACCCCTGCCAATTTCTATTTAAAAAACCTTACCCATCCCCACTATACTATATACAACACCTTCCCGCCCTACTTACTAACAACCTTCCCATGCCCTACTTTTCTAATAAAAACCCTTTCCCATGCCCCACTTTCTAACACCCTTACCCATGCCCTACTTAATATTACACACCTTACCCATGCCCTACTTTACTATACAACACCTTACCCATGCCCTACTTTACTATACACACCTTACCCATGCCCTACTTTTACAAACTTACCCTGCCCCTTTCTATCACACCTTACCCATCCCCCCACTTACTATAAAAACCTTACCCGCCCTACTTTCCCATAACAACCTTTCCCTGCCCTACTTTACTATACACCCTTTCCCATCCCTACTAAAAACCTTACCCTGCCCTACTTTACAAAAAAACACCAAACCCGCCCCCAAAATAACCCCACCACCCAGCCCTACTTACTATACACACATACCCATGCCCTACTTTACTATATACACCTTACCCATGCCCTACTATACTATACCACCCTTACCCATCCCTACTTCTAACACCTTTCCCCTTTCCCCTCCCTACTTTCTATACACACCTTACCCCTGCCCTCTTTTACTATACACACCTTTCCCCATCCCCTTTCTATACCAAACCCTTAAACCCCCTGCCCTTTCTTACTATAACCCTTACCCATGCCCTACTATACTATACACACCTTACCCATGCCCTACTTTCCTATACACACCTTACCCATGCCCTACTTTACTATACACACCTTACCCAGGCCCTACTTTACTATATCACACCTTACCCATGCCCTACTATACTATAACACACCTTACCCATGCCCTACTTACTAACAAAAACCTTACCCATGCCCTCTTTATATATCCCCCCTTTCCCCATGCCCTACTAACTATACAACCCTTTCCCATGCCCCACTTTTTCCCATACACACCTTTCCCCCTGCCCATTTCTATACACCCCTTACCCATGCCCTACTTTTTTATATATACACACCTTACCCATCCCCTACTATACTATACACACCTTACCCCATCCCTCATACACCCTTACCCCCGCCCCATTTACTAACAACCTTTTCCCATGCCCTACTTTTAAATATATAACCTTCCCATGCCCACATACTAACCACCTTACCCATCCCACTTTTATACAAACACCTTAAACCCCCCCAGCCTACTTTCCATAACACACCTTTCCATGCCCTACTTACATAAACACCCCTTTCCCTTCCCTACTTACTATACACCCTTTCCCCCTGCCCTACTTTTCAAAACACAAACCTTAAAAACCCCTGCCCACTTTACTTTTACCCCTTACCCATGCCCTACTATACTATATACACCTTACCCATGCCCTACTTACTATATACACACCTTACCCATGCCCTACTATACTATACACACCTTACCCATGCCCTACTTACACCCTTCCCCCCTGCCCTACTTACTTTTACACACCTTTCCCTGCCCTACTTTACTATACACAACCTTACCCATGCCCTACTTTACTATACACACCTTACCCATGCCCTACACTATAACCCAAAACCCTTACCCATGCCCTCATATATATAACAAAAACCTTACCCTGCCCTACTTTACAAAACACACCTTACCCCTGCCTACTTACTTTTAAATTTCCCCCCCCCTTTCCCCTGCCCTACTTTACTATATACACCTTACCCATGCCCTACTTTACTATTACACACCTTACCCATGCCCTACTATACTATATAACACCTTACCCATGCCCTACTTTACTATAACCCCCCTACCCCCCCTATATACTATATAAAAAACCCTTTTCCATCCCCACTTTACTATAAAACCCCCTTTCCCCTGCCCCCCACATACTATATACCCTTCCCATGCCCCACTTACTATAACTTACCCCCTGCCCACTTTACTATTACACAAACCCCTTACCCCTGCCCCCTTTTCTATAACCACCTTAACCCCTGCCCCCTACTTTTCAACAACCTTACCCCATGTCCTATTTACTATATCCCCTTTCCCCTGCCCTTTTCCCCATATACACACCTTACCCATCCCTAAATATACTAATTTTAACAACCCTTAACCCTCCTATTTACTATAAACCTTACCCATGCCCTACTTACTTTTAAACCTTTCCCTGCCCCCCTATACTATAAACACCTTACCCATCCCTACTTAATAACCCTTACCCCGCCCACTTTACTAACACACCTTTCCCATGCCCCCACTTCTATACACCACCTTACCCTGCCCTACATAAACACCTTACCCATGCCTACTAAATAACACCTTACCCTGCCTATTTCTATTACCAACCCTACCCTGCCCTACTTTCTATATACCACCTACCCTGCCCACTTTACAACAACCTTTAACCCCGCCCCACATTATAAACACCTAACCCCTCCCCCACTTTATATACACACCTTACCATGCCCCCACTTTACTATACACACCTTTCCCCATGCCCCTACTTTTAACACATTACCCCGCCCCATTTATATACACACCTTTTCCCCCTGCCCTACCCTATAAAACCTACCCGCCCCAATTTTTTAACACCCCCACCCATGCCCTTTTTACTAACACACCAAACCCCCGGGCCCACAACAACACCCCACCCCCTGCCCTCCTTTTCTTATACCCCTACCATCCCTACTTTTACTTTTTAACCCTTACCCCTCCCTACTTTACTATACACACCTTACCCATGCCCTAATATACTATACACACCTTACCCATGCCCTACTTTACTATACACACCTTACCCATGCCTACTTTACTATACACACCTTACCCCTGCCTATTTACTATAACACCTTTCCCTCCCACTTTTCTATACACCCCTTACCCCTCCCCACTAATTATCACCTTTCCCATCCTCTTTACTTTCACAACCTTACCCATGCCCTACTATACTATACACACCTTACCCATGCCCTACTTTACTATACACACCTTACCCATGCCCCACTTCTATAACACCCCTTACCCATGCCCTACTTACTACACCCCCTTACCCTGCCTACTTCTATATAAAAAACCTTACCCATGCCCCCACTTATATATACACACCTTACCCATGCCCTACTTTCCCCATAAAAACCCCTTACCCTCCCTACTTCTAAAACAAAACACCTTACCCATCCCTCTATACTTATACCCCCTTACCCATTGCCCATTTTCTATAACAAAACCTTACCCCGCCCTACATTTCACACCTTTAACCCCCGCCCCCTTTACTATAACCACTTACCCTGCCCTACTATACATACCCCCTTCCCCTGCCCTACATCTAACACACCCTTAAACCCCCGCCTACTTACATAAAAAACCTTTCCCTGCCCCCACTTTTTATTACACACCTTTTCCCATGCCCCACTTTTCCCATAAAAACACCTACCCCGCCCCACTATACTATACACACCTACCCATCCCCTTTTTATATAAACACCCCACCCGCCCTACTTACTATAAAACAAAAAACCCACCCCTGCCCCACTTTATATTACAAAACCTTACCCGCCCTACTTACTATTTCCCAAAAACCTTACCCCCTGCCCCACTTACTATTTTACACAACCCCCCCTTTTCCCTCAACTTTACAAAAACCACCCTCCCACTTAAACTAAACAAAAATTCCCCCCTATTATAAAACAAACCACCCTGCCCCACAAAAATAAAAACCTTACCCATGTCTTTATAAAAAACATTAAACCCCGTTTTTACTATAAAAAATTACCCATGCCCTATTATTCCCCTTCCCCCCCTCTTCAACAACCACTAATCCCTCTTACATAAACCCTTTAAAACCGCCCACTTCATCCCCCCCTTAAACCCATTTTTTACAAACACCTTCCATCCCATTTTAACTATAAACACCCCCCAGGGCCTCTTTACATACACAAACCACCCCTCCCATTTTAACATAACAGCCCTTACCCCCACCTTTCCCGACACGGGCCTACAGGGCCAAAAACCACGCCTCCCCCACCCTGTGAAAGTTCAAGGAAAAAACATTTTTCCCAACCCACGAACTGTCTGCGGGCCCCAAAATGCTGGGTTCAAAGGATAAAGAATGGTTTCTTTTTTTTCAACTTTTAAACAACTGAACAAAAGAAGTTTCTTGAGTTGGTGTGGGTTTTTTGGGTGGGTTGTTTTGGTTGGTTTTGGTTGTACACGCCCTGGAGTCCTCCCTGAAACCGTGCCCTAAAACCCAGACAGGGGTCCACCCAACGGACCCATTAAAAACCAAAAAGAAAAAAGGCCGTCCCGGGAGGAAAAAAAAACCCCCAAAAAGGGAAAGGAAAAAAACCCCCCCTTTCCCCGCCCCAAAAAGTTTCCCCTCCCCACCCCTCCCCTTTGGGCCAAAAAAATCCCCCAAGGGAGTAAAAAAAAAACCCCCCCTCAGGGGGAGTAACCTCTACCCCCCCAGGGGCAACGAAAAACCCTTTTTTTCTTTTTTTTTTTTTTTTTTTGTGTTGTTGGGGTTTTTGGGGGTTTTTTGTTGTGTTTTTTTTTGTGGGGGGGGGGGGGGTGTTTTGGGGGGGGGGGGGGTGGGGGGTAACCCAAAACATTTTCCACCGCTAACTGTAATCTGATCCTGACAGACCACAGAAAACTAACGCTGTTCTTAACTGAACAGAATAAAGGAACTGAGTTAAACAATGTCTTTATTTCAACTTTTAAAACAACTTGAACAACAAGTATAGTGACATTGAGTTGAAGATAGTGGTGATCTCAGCAGGCTGCTGGTATGCTGATGGCTTCGGTCTTCCCACTGCTCTGCTCCACACAGCTCACATGGAGAGATCCGTCCCTGAAACACAGGTCAGACCCAGTAAACACACAGACACCGGGTCCAGTCCACAGCTGGTTAGACCCAGTAAATACACAGACACCAGGTCCAGTCCACAGCTGGTTAGACCCAGTAAACACACAGACACCAGGTCCAGTCCACAGCTGGTTAGACCCAGTAAACACACAGACACCAGGTCCAGTCCACAGCTGGTTAGACCCAGTAAACACACAGACACCAGGTCCAGTCCACCACAGGTCAGACCCAGTAAACACACAGACACCGGGTCCAGTCCACAGCTGGTTAGACCCAGTAAACACACAGACACCGGGTCCAGTCCACAGCTGGTTAGACCCAGTAAACACACAGACACCGGGTCCAGTCCACAGCTGGAAGCAGTGTGCTGCTGGGCGTTACCTCTTCATGGTTACCACGGCATCAATGTCATGGTTGTCCTCTTTGGTCTCCAGGTCTCTCAGAACAATCTGCAGACAAGAGGGAGACCTGTTGGTTCTCTGGTGGAGGGTGTGTGTGTGTGGTGTGTGTGTGTGTGTGTGTGTGTGTGTGTGTGTGGTGTGTACACGTACCTTGGCCAGTCTCTCTGGCTGCTCTGTGGTTTTCTGGTAAAGCTCCAGACAGAGGGATGCCAGGCGGCCGGGACCGGACAGGATGTGATGTCGCCGAGCAGGAAGGGGCGTGCCCGAGGGGAGGAGCACAGAGAACACCTCAGCCCCAGTTTCATCCACCTCCTGTCAATCACAAAGATTAGCCAATCAGAAGCTACTCTACTAGTCACTGATCTCTCTGTGTGTGTGTGTGTGTGTGTGTGTGTGTGTGTGTGTGTACCTTGAGCAGAATGTCTGAGACACAGGCTTCCACGGTAACAGACTCGGGGGAGGAGCCAATCTCCCGGCCAACTAGAAGGCCCGCCTCCATCGCTGCGCCGACAGCAATGACCTCATCAGGAGGGGCGGAGCTGAGCAGCTCCACGTCAGCGAACAGATCTTTGATCATCTGCTGCAGCCGAGGAATCCTCGCAGATCCCCCGCATAGAACCACCTAGAACACACACAATTAAAACCCCTGCATAGAACCACCTAGAACACACAGAATCCCCACATAGAACCACCTAGAACACACAGAATCCCCACATAGAACCACCTAGAACACAGAATCCCCACATAGAACCACCTAGAACACACAATCCCCACATAGAACCACCTAGAACACAGAATCCCCACATAGAACCACCTAGAACACACAGAATCCCCACATAGAACCACCTAGAACACACAGAATCCCCACATAGAACCACCTAGAACACAGAATCCCCACATAGAACCACCTAGAACACACAGAATCCCCACATAGAACCACCTAGAACACACAGAATCCCCACATAGAACCACCTAGAACACACAGAATCCCCACATAGAACCACCTAGAACACAGAATCCCCACATAGAACCACCTAGAACACACAGAATCCCCACATAGAACCACCTAGAACACACAGAATCCCCACATAGAACCACCTAGAACACACAGAATCCACACATAGAACCACCTAGAACACAGAATCCCCACATAGAACCACCTAGAACACACAGAATCCCCACATAGAACCACCTAGAACACACAGAATCCCCACATAGAACCACCTAGAACACACAGAATCCCCACATAGAACCACCTAGAACACAGAATCCCCACATAGAACCACCTAGAACACACAGAATCCCCACATAGAACCACCTAGAACACACAGAATCCCCACATAGAACCACCTAGAACACAGAATCCCCACATAAGCAGTTGACACTCAGTTTGGACACTCATCGGTACAACACACAGAACAAAAATATAAACGCAACATGTAAAGTGTTGGTCCCATGTTTCATGAGCTGAAATAAAAGATCCCAGAAATGTTCCATACCCACAAAAAGCTTATTTCTCTACAGTTTTGTGCACAAATGTTTTTACATCCCTGTTAGTGAGCATTTCTCCAAGATAATCCATCCACCTGACAGGTGTGGCATATCAAGAAGCTGATTAAACAGCATGATCATTACACAGGTGCACCTTGTGCTGGGGACAATAAAAGGCTACTAAAATGTGCAGTTGTCACAACTTAATGCCACAGATGTCTCAAGTTGAGGGAGTGTGTAATTGGCATGCTGACTGCAGGAATGTCCACCAGAGCTGTTGCCATAGAATGTAATGTTAATTTCTCTATCATAAGCCGCCTCTCCAACGTTGTTTTAGAGAATTTGGCAGTACGTCCAACCCGCCTCACAACCGCTGACCACGTGTAACCACGCCAGCCCAGGACCTCCCCAGACCACGTGTAACCACGCCAGCCCAGGACCTCCCCAGACCACGTGTAACCACGCCAGCCCAGGACCTCCCCAGACCACGTGTAACCAGGCCAGCCCAGGACCTCCCCAGACCACGTGTAACCACGCCAGCCCAGGACCTCCCCAGACCACGTGTAACCACGCCAGCCCAGGACCTCCCCAGACCACGTGTAACCACGCCAGCCCAGGACCTCCCCAGACCACGTGTAACCACGCCAGCCCAGGACCTCCCCAGACCACGTGTAACCACGCCAGCCCAGGACCTCCCCAGACCACGTGTAACCACGCCAGCCCAGGACCTCCCCAGACCACGTGTAACCACGCCAGCCCAGGACCTCCCCAGACCACGTGTAACCAGGCCAGCCCAGGACCTCCCCAGACCACGTGTAACCAGGCCAGCCCAGGACCTCCCCAGACCACGTGTAACCACGCCAGCCCAGGACCTCCCCAGACCACGTGTAACCACGCCAGCCCAGGACCTCCCCAGACCACGTGTAACCACGCCAGCCCAGGACCTCCCCAGACCACGTGTAACCACGCCAGCCCAGGACCTCCACATCCGGCTTCTACACCTACAGGATCGTCTGAGACCAGCCACCCGGACAGCTGATGAAACTGAGGAGTATTTGTCTGTATTGAAGGCCTTGTGTGGGGGGAAAACTCATTCTGATTGGCTGGGCCTGGCTCCCCAGTGGGTGGGCCTATGCCCTCCCAGGCCCACCCATGGCGGTGCCCCTGCCCAGCCATGTGAAATCCATAGATTAGGGCCTAATTTAAGTTATTGCATGTTGTTCAGTATATAGTATTGTAATTTGCACTGTACTATGTATTAGACCTAGATAGTGTGTATGTACTGATATGTAGGCTGTCGTTCTGTACTATGGATTAGACCTAGATAGTGTGTATGTACTGATATGTAGGCTGTAGTTCTGTACTATGGATTAGACCTAGATAGTGTGTATGTACTGATATGTAGGCTGTAGTTCTGTACTATGGATTAGACCTAGATAGTGTGTATGTACTGATATGTAGGCTGTAGTTCTGTACTATGGATTAGACCTAGATAGTGTGTATGTACTGATATGTAGGCTGTAGTTCTGTACTATGGATTAGACCTAGATAGTGTTTATGTACTGATATGTAGGCTGTAGTTCTGTACTATGGATTAGACCTAGATAGTGTTTATGTACTGATATGTAGGCTGTGTGATATTTTAAATGTATGTATTTCAGTCCTTGACTAATAATGTTCTGTACTATGTATTATGTCATGTTTCATGTGGACCCCAGGAAGAGTAGCTGACGCTTTTGCAGCGGCTAATGGGGATCCTAATAAATACCAATAGAACCACCTAGACCACAGTTAGAACCCCCACCTAGAACACACACAGAGACACACAGAACCACATTTAGAACCCCCTAGAACACGCACAGTTAGAATGCCCACATTGAACCACCTATAACAGTTAGAACCCCCACATAGAACACAGAAGCACCAAGAACACAACCCACACCATTTAGAACCCCCACAGATCCACCTAGAACACACCGACATTAGAACCCCCACATGGAGATTCAATTGGGGCCGTATTCGGTATCCTTCGGACTTCCCTACCCCTAAACTTAACGCTTACAGTAACCAACATTACCTCTAAACTACTTGCGTGCGCACCTCCTCCAGGACTGCTGCGCAGACGCATGAGAATGACCTTCACTGAGTTCCGACACATTAGTTTGCACTATATAGATCACCGTTTTTTTCTATGATCGAATCAACATTATATCAGGCCGTTTTCAATGCAACAAACCAAAACAAATCTAACTCTGCAAGATTGAGTGATTTTATTGTAGGCAGAGCCAGAGCCAACGGAGTAGAATTCTATCGGCGGGGGTTGAGTCCCATCACCCGCGAGTGAATGCGCTTTTCAGATCAGAGCGCAGAGACGAGCGTCTGCACCTTTCTACATATTATTTGCTAGTTAGCGAGTTATTAGCCCAGTTCTAGTTAGCGAGTTATTAGCCCAGTTATAGGTAAGTATAGGTCAGCAATGGGGAGTTACTGCTTCCTACAAGAGCACAAACCGTGTAGGCTACATTTCAAGCTGTCTGAAAAGCCAGTCAGGTAAAAAAAAGAGCTTATGTCTTAATTAAAGGGGCAGTGTTGTATTTTGAGACAGGCTTGAATGTGCAAATAAGCCAATAGGCAGAGGGGTAGCCCACATTGTCGAATTCTCTGTATGGTAATCATTACTTTTATTTTGTAAAGTGGTTTCTTGCATCATACAACAATGACATTTACAGTCACCTATTTGGCCCACGGTGTTACAGACCAAGTAAAAAAAATAATTAAAATGTCAAGTCCTTCATAATGTAGAAACGTTAAGTCTCATGCAACGTAGGTCTGCATTGAACACTACATATATGCTACATCATAGAAATCAAAAGCTATTTCCATGTGAAAATGTTATGGGATTCGCTCCATTGGTTTTGTTGGTAGGCCTACATTATGCTCAGATAGCCACAATAACCTGTTGGCTACTGTCTAAAACTGTCAGGATACAGCCTGTTGGCTACTGTCTAAAACTGTCAGGATACAGCCTGTTGGCTACTGTCTAAAACTGTCAGGATACAGCCTGTTGGCTACTGTCTAAAACTGTCAGGGTACAGCCTGTTGGCTACTGTCTAAAACTGTCAGGATACAGCCTGTTGGCTACTGTCTAAAACTGTCAGGATACAGCCTGTTGGCTACTGTCTAAAACTGTCAGGATACAGCCTGTTGGCTACTGTCTAAAACTGTCAGGATACAGCCTGTTGGCTACTGTCTAAAACTGCCAGGATACAGCCTGTTGGCTACTGTCAGGGTACAGCCTGTTGGCTACTGTCTAAAACTGTCAGGATACAGCCTGTTGGCTACTGTCTAAAACTGTCAGGGTACAGCCTGTTGGCTACTGTCAGGATACAGCCTGTTGGCTACTGTCTAAAACTGTCAGGGTTCAGCCTGTTGGCTACTGTCTAAAACTGTCAGGATACAGCCTGTTGGCTACTGTCTAAAACTGTCAGGATACAGCCTGTTGGCTACTGTCTAAAACTGTCAGGGTACAGCCTGTTGGCTACTGTCTAAAACTGTCAGGATACAGCCTGTTGGCTACTGTCTAAAACTGTCAGGATACAGCCTGTTGGCTACTGTCTAAAACTGTCAGGGTACAGCCTGTTGGCTACTGTCTAAAACTGTCAGGGTTCAGCCTGTTGGCTACTGTCTAAAACTGTCTGGATACAGCCTGTTGGCTACTGTCTAAAACTGTCAGCGTACAGCCTGTTGGCTACTGTCTAAAACTGTCAGGATACAGCCTGTTGGCTACTGTCTAAAACTGTCAGGGTACAGCCTGTTGGCTACTGTCTAAAACTGTCAGGGTTCAGCCTGTTGGCTACTGTCAGGATACAGCCTGTTGGCTACTGTCTAAAACTGTCAGGGTACAGCCTGTTGGCTACTGTCTAAAACTGTCAGGATACAGCCTGTTGGCTACTGTCTAAAACTGTCAGGGTACAGCCTGTTGGCTACTGTCTAAAACTGTCAGGGTAC